TTCTTTTTAATACCTAAATTATGTTTCCTTTTCCGATTTGTTCCAAATGGAATCCATTTCTCTACTGAAGCTGCTACTGTTGTTAAGACAACCCCTGAATTCAGCAGGTACTGCTTAAATCAAGTTAAGTATCTCCCCTGAGATCACTAGTCTGAGTTTCCAAAAACCCAGAATGCTTTGCTGTCAGACCTGAAATATGATTACTATGAAAGGATTTCTGTCAAATGCTTGTCATCCTCAATTCATCCTCAGCGTTTAAGGATCTATTCTGGTGCCAAATACTGGAAATAATAACAAGAGAATGAATTTGACGTTGTCCAGGGCCTGATGACCCACATCTACACATCTGACTATATTAAACTACGGAGAGGAAGAGTTTAAGAAAAATCTACCAGGCTGGGCATGGTGGCTCATGGCTGTAATCCTAGCACTCTGGGAGGCTGAGGCAGGAGGATTGCTTGAGGTCAGGAGTTCGAGACCAGCCTGAGCAAGAGTGAGACTCCGTCCCTACTATAAATAGAAAAAAATCAGCTGGGCATGGAGGCATGCCTCTGTAGTTCCAGCTCCTGGGGAGGCTGAGGCAGGAGGATCACTTGAGCCCAGGAGTTGGAGGTTGCTGCGAGCTAGGCTGACACCACGACACTCTAGCTGGGGCGACAGACTGAGACTCTGTCTCAAAAAAAAAAAAAGAAAAGTCTACCAAAAATAATCGTGGTGGTGCACACCTGTAATCCCAACTACTTTGGAGGCTGAAGAGGGAGGATCACATGAGCCCAGGACTTCAAGGTTACAGTGAGCTATTATTGTGCCACTACACTCCAGCCTGGGCAACAGAGCGAGGAGACCCTGTCTCTTAACAATAAAAAAAAAAAGTCTACCAAAAACCCGATGGTAGGAAATTACCATTTAACCCTTATTTATTAATCATGAGCATATTAATCTGGTCTAACATGCAGTCAATGCCAGTTAGCATTTTATTAAGCCCTCTGAATGAAGATAGGCTTAGACATGATGGATTTCCTGGCAGTATCATTAATAGAGCCTCATTATCCTACAGATAACTACTTAGTTAAAAGCTAAAATCCCCAATCTTAAGAAGTGTGTGCATCCATCACCCCAATTAAAAAACTGAAAAACAATGAGCATGATTTTCTTCTAGAAAAATCTTAAAAGACAAAGTTCTGAAGGTTAGCTGGCCTTTGAGGGAGGCGTCTTCCATCCAGTGCACTGACCCAATTACTGGTCTCCTAAAGCTGCTGTGTTTGGAAATGTGGATGCTATTAAGTTTCTTCCATCGCATTATACTTTATTCAGCTAGTAATTATGAATATGAGCTCAGCTCTGCGGAAAACAGAACAGGATGGTCA